TGCCCGTTATTCAACTTTTAAAATATTTTTTTCCGAATACTCGAAGAGGGATCAAGTTTGTAAACATGGATGATTTGTATATATTCTTGTCTAAAGGATATGTTTATTTTTAATGAGACTTCTGTGCAGACTTGTCCAGAGTCAGCTCCGTATTTTGAGATGAATGTGTTCCCAAAATGTTTATCCCATTCCCTATTTTTTGCGGTTATTAATAACTCTCATTGCATTACAGCGGAAAAGTGCATAGGATTCCTTGGTGAAAAAAATTAGCCTCTCCATAATGAAAAATACGTACATGTATCAGAATGTCCTTGTAACTCTGTGAAATTGGAGGACAGTCAATGTAGATACAGAACCAGGTTTATTTGGTGTCGTGTAGGAGGACGGAAACCAAAATGGTAGGTAGATCTAAGAATAACAGAAAGGCCTGAGTGTTAAAGAATAGTTTTAATTTTAATCTTATTTTAATTAATTTTCAAGTTTGTAATATAGAAATGTTATAATATTATTCACCAAATCCATTTTGCAATCAAATACTAAATTTTTTAAGCATTTGTTATTATTATGTTCCCCAAACGAAGTTGGGGAACATATTGTTTTTACTCTGTTTCTTATTATTATGTTCCCCAAACGGAGTTGGGGAACATATTGTTTTTACTCTGTTTCTTATTATTATGTTCCCCAAACGAAGTTGGGGAACATATTGTTTTTACTCTGTTTCTTATTATTATTATTATTATTATTATTATTATTCTTTTTTCTTCTTATTTCTTCTCCGGTACTTTTTTGTCCGGAAGTGTTCTCAGAAACTGTTCACCAAACTAAGTTAAAACCTTTTTAGGGTTAGTAGGCATGTTGTGTAGATGTGCCGAACGAAGGTCATTTTGCGCGCATTCGCATGCACGTGCCGGCGCGTGCAATGAGTAAAATGACTGATATATTTAATATGGTTGTAACTTTTATATTTTTTGATAAAATGTTTTGAAACTCATTATATAAAGATATATAAGTTGTGTAGATAAGATGACATGGTCAAATTTGCATGAACTCACGCGCATGCACGTGCGCTTTGCTCTGATTGGCTGAAACAGAAATCTTAATATCTTTTTTGTTTTATGATGAAATGCTTTGAAATTTATAACATAGACTTGTATTAGGATGTACCACAATATGATATATAAAATTTTTCATGAAATCACGCGCATGTACGTGCGCTGCAATCTGATTGGCTGAAACTTTAAATGACTATAACTCTCTTGGTTTTCAACCAAACAGCATGGGATTTAGAACATAGATAGACATAAAGGACTCCTACAAGATGGTTTGGTCACCATTCACATGCATGCACGTGCGTGCACGTGCGCTTTGCTCTGATTGGCTGAAACAAAAATCTCAATATCTTTTCTGTTTTTTTACAAAATGCTTTGAAATTTAAAACATATGCATACTTTAAGATGTCCTACAATATGATATATAATAATTGTCATGAAAACACGCGCATGCACGTGCGCTGCAATCTGATTGGCTTAAACTTTAAATGGCTATAACTCCCTTGTTTTTCAACCAAACAGGATGGGATTAAGAACATAGACAGACATAATGGACTCCTACAAGAAGGTATGGTCATCATGCACGTGCGTTCACGTGCATATGAGTAAAATAGTGTAGACAAGATGATATCGTCATTACGCTCATGCAATCAGATGCGCACGCCTGCATTGCTTAAATTTGAAATACTTGGTATACTTTTGGGAAAACGTTATTTACGTCTTAAATGCTTAGATTTTGCCTTATTTAATGAAAATTACAGGGAATATGGCACGAGAAGGGAGTTGGGGAGCGTTTGGGGAACATCTGTAACGGTTCCCGTTACAATTAGCACTAGTTATTATTATTATTATTTTTTTTCTTATTTGTTCTCCGGTACTTTTTTGTCCGCGAGTGTTCTCAGAAACTGTTCACCCAACTGAGCTAAAACCTTTTTAGGGTTAATAGGTGTGTAGTGTAGGTGTGCGGAACGAAGGTCATTTTGCGCGCATACGCCTGCACGTGCGTGCGCGTGAAATGAGTGAATTGACTGATATACTTAATATAGCTATAACTTTTACATTTTTTGATGAAATGCTTTGAAACTCATTACATGAGGATATATTAATAGTGTTAATAAAATTACACTGTCAAATTAGCACGAACTCACGCGCATGCACGTGCGCTTTGCTCTGATTGGCTGAAACAAAAATCTCAATATCTCTTTTGTTTTTCGACGAAATGCTTTGAAATTTTAAACATTGTCATGAATTAGGATATCCTACAATATAATATGGAAAAAATTTCATGAAATCACGCGCATGCACGTGCGCTGCAATCTGATTGGCTGAAACTTTAAATGGCTATATCTCCTTTGTTTTTTGACGAAATGCTTTGAAATTTAAAACATAGTCACGCATTAGGATATCCTGCAATATGATATACAAAAAATTTCAAGAAATCACGCGCATGCACGTGTGCTGCAATCTGATTGGCTGAAACTTTAAATGGCTATATCTCCTTTGTTTTTTGACGAAATGCTTTGAAATTTAAAACATAGTCACGCATTGGGATATCCTGCAATATGATATACAAAAAAATTTCAAGAAATCACGCGCATGCACGTGTGCTGCAATCTGATTGGCTGAAACTTTAAATGGCTATAGCTCCTTTGTTTTTTGACGAAATGCTTTGAAATTCAAAACATAGTCATGCATTAGGATATTCTACAATATGATTTAGAAAAAGATTCTTGAAATCAAGTGGATGCACGTGTGCTGCAATCTGATTGGCCGAAACTTGAAATCGCTATAATTCCCTTGGTTTTCAACCAAACAGGATGGGATTTAGAACATAGATAGATATCAGGGCCTCCTACAAGAGGGTATGGTCATCATGCATGTGCACGCACGTGCGTGCATTTGGAACGAGTGAAATTAAATATACACTTAAATGAGTGATTTTTTAAATACTTTTGGACTAAATGCTTTAATATAAAGTATATTTAAATATATAGAAAGTGTAGACAAGATTATATGATCATTACGCACGTGCATTCAATGGGCACGCGTGCAATGTTAAAATTTGAATATAATTGGTATCCTTTTGGGAAAATGTTGTTAAAGTAAAAAATGCACAGATGTTGTCTTACTAAATGAAGCGTACAGGGAATATGGCATCAAAAGGGATTTGGGGAGCGTTTGGGGAACATCTGTAACGGTTCCCGTTACAATTAGCACTAGTTATTTTTCTTCTTCTTCCTGGGTACTTTTTTGTCCGCGAGTGATCTTGTAAACTGTTCATCCGAAGTAGGTAAAACCTTTTTAGGGTTAGTAGACATGTTATGTAGATTTGCGGAATCAAGGTCATTTTGCGCGCACGTGCTTGCAAGAGCGTGCACGTGCAACACGTAAAATGACCATTATAATAGATATGGCCGTAACTTTTCTATTTTTTGATTATATGCTTTGAAACTCGTAATATAAATATATAATAGTATTATACACATGATGACATGATCAAAATAGCAAGATCTCACGCGCATGCACGTGCGCTTCGCTCTGATTGGCTGAAACTAAAGTCTCAATATCCTTTTTTGTTTTTCGACAAAATCCTTTGAAATTTTGAACATGGTCATACACTATGAAGATCTACAGCATGACATATAAAAATTATCATGAAAGCATGCACATGCACGTGTGCTGCAATCTGATTGGCCGAAACTTTAAATGTCTATAACTTTCTTAGTTTCCAACAAAACGGGATGAAATTTAGAATATGAATAGGTATAATGGATTCCCACATTATGCTACTATCAAAATTGAATGCAAGGACATGCATGCACATGCGCAAAATGATTATACTTAAAACATGGTAACATTTATATTTGTATCATTTTTTTCTTGATTTTAAGTATATAAAAATATGTTAATCGTGTAGCCATCATGCCATGATCATCTTGTATATGTATGAACGTGCGCGCGCATGCTAAACGTTGAATGACATTTATAATTGATATCATTATAACTTTTTTATTCTTTAAAGAAATCCTTCGATACTAAGCAAATAAAAAAGTCTTACAGGAATAAGGCACAAAAAGGGATTTGGGGAGCGTTTGGGGAACATCTGTAACGGTCCCCGTTACAATTAACACTAGTTTATACATTGTTTTTACAGAATTCATCTCAAAGGTATGAAGAAATAAATGAACAGATCGAAAACATCTGCTAAATTCAGAATGAAACTGAAGCCAAATAATGATGAAAGACTTTGAAACACAATTAGACGAGAAGAATATATTTAAAGATTCTTTCAAGAACGAAAATGATGAAGGAAGTCCCGCAAACGAAGACATAGAATATCAAGTCTTAATCCAGAAAGAGACAACAGTAAAAGATACCTCCAAATATGAAGAAAGGCAACCAAACGTGACAGAAAATAAAATAACTATAGAAGTACTGGGTATATGACATTCAACATTATTCTACATCAAAGCATGCCGAAAAGTATTTCTAGAAAATATTTAGAGGTTATTTCCGCACAAAACCAACATGAAATAATTTTGTATAAAACAACTTATTGTCTTGTATAAATAGCCCTAAGGATAAATAAAATAATTACCACGCAAGTATTCAATTTGATAGACAATTACTTATGATGTTTTCATAAATATTTATAATTTTAAAAATATTAATTAATCAATGATGACCTTGATGTTGAAATTGTTTCTATCTGTCTTAAGAACGTAAAGTGGTCATTGGATAAAACACTTATTTTCTTCAGCTGGAAGGATTCAATACATGTGTGTTTCCTGTATGTTCTATATTCAAAAAAAAAAAAAAAAAAAAAACAGAATTTGAAATTAATCTTGACGATAGAATAGTCTATGATAGTAGCCCTTTTCTTCTTTACCTCAAACCCTTTTAAAGATAAACCATTGACCTTATAGCCACCTTAAACTCTGAAAGCGATAAAGATTTTTACGTAATGACACGCAGTTCTGACATTGGAATTCTTCTATTGACATTGTTTGTAAGTTCATTGAATTATGTTGATAGTACATTTATATTCGCTTAAAAGTCTCTACAGTATAAATACTTTAATTCACATTTAAGTTATACTTTAGTTAATGTGCAAGTGCATCATAGCTTTGTTATTACGTTAGTTGGGTTGTATCAGGCACTGTCCACTACAATTCTCAGAGGATAAGGTGCCAGTCCTCAACTTCAGAATTTTCTGTCCTGGTTAATGATGTCTCTCCTACAATATGTACACTTGTTACAATTTCAATTGTGTTAATACACCAAATTCACGACTGTTGCACTTTTCACAGCTATTCACGATTCTTCCTTCCAAATGGATCTCATTCTCTGTTTTTTTTTACCCTGATGTACTATGAGCTTCCGTCTCTACAATCCCATGACCCCAAAGGCATTCTACAAAGATTGCCAACAAAAAATCCTTGTCATCCTTTATCGACCGAAAAGGCATCAGAATCTCCTGCATCAATGCTGACAGTCTGCAATGAAATCCTTTTACGTGCTCAGTTTTTTGCTTGTAAGTTTCTTTTTTCCATGGCATTATTAGTACCAGTAAAACAACCTGCTAGAAGGTAGAAACTAAATAATACATGTAATATCTCGTCAATGTTTGGTAACTTTCATCCCTGCTTTTGACCAATAAGATATGCAGGAAACTCACCAGCAGTACCCAAAATTTCATCTTCTTCCTCTCCTCTGACCTATCAAATTAAACAAATTTTATGCCCCTTTATCCTTCATTGGTTTCTTCCCTCTCCCCTTTCAAAGGCATCTTAAAGACAAATAAAAAATTGTCTTCGTGTTAATCATCCATCTGTCAAAGCTATTGGACATGAAAATATGTGTTTATCTTTGGCTGCTCTACCATAAAGTTTGCAATACGGTTCTTCTCTCTCATGCCCAAGATTGCCAGTTTGATTGATATATTGATACTTGCAGGCACAGTCTTAAAATAGCAGTAAATTTGTTCCGTAGTCAAAACAATAATTCATGATAAATCTCTCAGTCTGTCCCTTTTAAGTCAACTTCCTTCGTCGTGCCATACAATTGCCTATAGCATTTTTGTAGGTTGTTACGTTTTACGGACCTCCATCAGTACCAGCTGCTTCTCTTACATATTTGGCGCTAAAAATCATCTAACCAATGATGCTATGCATGTTTGACCCAATTTGCTTAAAAAGCGCCGGTATGTTTATTGCATTTTGATACGCACGACTCTTCTTTTTTCTGTATACATGTTCCCAACCACAATTGCTAGAAAAGTCTTCCCTTTTTATAATTTTTTAGGGTTTCTTTTTTCAAAAAGAAAAGCAGTATGGAAGTTTTAATTACTACTCAAACCATGAATGCATAAATTTTCCCTTTTCTAAAGTGTTGAAACATGAAGAATATAAGGCATAGTATAAAATAATGGTTAAGCATCAATCTTTATGATTTGGAGATACATTTTTACTGACCAGACAAAGATAAACTTTAAACGATAAATTTTAAACAGACTCCTCTTCCATGCTTTTGTATATTTCTTTGAACTCTAAGTCTGTCTCTCAGGGTAACGCTTTTGCCGCAGCAGTACATCCGGGAACTTCTAGTCATGTGACAAACACAGAAACTACATCACCTCCTCGGCCAACTCCGGAACGTTATGAATTTGTTAATAACTTATACATGTATGACAGAAATTCAGTGAGTATACTTACATTTAATGTGTTGAAGCAGATAATGCCAAATTTTTTGTCAACTTTGCAATTTAAAAAAAAAAAAAAAAAAACCAAGAAAATTAATTCTTTAACCGTAGTCCTGATTGTTGATGGTTAAACAAGAAAACAAATGATTTAAATTGTAATTGTAGCATTTCCTGTGTGATTCGCATTATTCCAGAATTATGCATTACTGTATGTGTTACCATGTTCCTTATGAACACCGAGCTGATATCCACGAACCGTCTACTCTTCTGGCAACCGAGGTATGTTTAACACACATTACAAACACATGAAACTGTTAAAAGTAAGTTTGTATCATAGGAATGGAAAATTAATTACTTCAAAGTGAAGGAGGCAATTTGCTGTGTTTACAAATATTAATTTGGGGGGAATGCATTCTATATTACAATTTACTGACCCAAAGATGGTTATGCAACTCAAATATCTCACATTATATGATTCAAATGTTGATCACTATATTAATACATGATTCGAATTTTATTCTTTTTAGAAACGGATGTATGAGTTATTTCTAGCGGGGAATTACGTAAAGAAAAATATGACAGAACTGAAGTTTTATAGTATGCGGTGCTACGGTATGTGTACCCGCACCAATTACAACCCAGGGGATAACACGACCCTTTATATGGTCTACGATGATCCTCTAATGTCCACACAATATTTATCTTAACAAAATATTAATAAAACATAATAAAAAAAAATATCAGAATCTCATGAGTGTAATTCTTGAATTTCAACTCTTATGTCCAATGTGAAACATGCGTGCAGAAGGATGCATAGCATTTAAAATGCCCGCAAAACGACCTCCAAATTCTTCGAAGATTCTGCATTTTGAGACGTACAGATGTATTCTGTTTAATTTGCTCAGGATGATGTGTACGACCCTTTGCCTCACAATGCCATCTAAATGATCAGCTCATATGTTGAATATTGCAGGCCTGGGGGCCGTAAAACTTAGACGAGCTCACTTTTGATCTCAGTCTCACTTTTACCAAAGGAATATATAGTGGAAAAGTGAGACTTAGATCAAAAGTGAGCTCGTCTATAGCGAAGTTTTATGGCCCCCAGGCCAGGTCATTTTTAGCTCTACTGGTCAGAGACCAGAAGAGCTCATGGTCAAGATCTAGTAAATGAAATGTGCCTACAGATTTAGCAAATTTGAGAAATAAATTCCTTTATTGATGGTTTACAACTTTAGCTTGGTCAAATAAGGTGTTTCGGGGCATAATTTGTAGGTAAACAAGAGGAAAAACTGTATTTAAAACTGTCATTTTTAATGAAAAATTAAGAAAACCAGTCATGAATATGGGAGTTTTTTTCATATTCGACAGAAAAAATGTATCCAGATTGCCTACAGTCTCTCAGAAAACGGTAATTAGTATGTTCGTGGCCTCTTCTTTAAATCAATATCAAATTTAATATAGGTATCCGGTTTACTTTTCATATGATTCCAAATTGAATGCCATGAAAATACCCTTTTTTCTACATAATTTTGCTAAAGCCGTAAAGTACGGGAAAAAGAAAGTTGAAATTGATTATGACGTCATAATGGATCTAGCACCAAAAGATTAGTCTAAAGTTATTTACTAGATCTTGACCTTATGCGATAGTAAGGTGTCCGTCGTCTGTCCGTCTGTCTGTCTGTCCAGCTGTCCGTCTGTCTGTAAACAATTTTTCAAAACGCTACTCCTCCTACAGTTTTGGTCTGATTTCAATATAACTTGGCACACAAGTAGACTACACTAAGATACATAAAATAGTGCATCGGTTTTTGATTTCGATGAAGGGTGTTGCCATGGTTACTAAAAATAGAATTTTCTGTGAAATTCCTTTAAAATGCTACTCCTACTACAGTTCTGATCTGATTTCAATGTAACTTGGCACACAAGTAGACTACACTAAGATACATAAAATAGTGCATCAGTTTTTGATTTTGATGAACGGTGTTGCCATGGTTACTAAAAATAGATTTTTCTGTGAAATTCCTTTAAAATGCTACTTCTCCTACAGTTTTGGTCTGATTTCAGCATTACTTGGCACACAAGTAGACTACACTAAGATACATAAAATAGTGCATCAGTTTTTGATTTCGACGAACGGTGTTGCCATGGTTACTAAAAATAGAATTTTCTGGGAATTCCTTTAAAATGCTACTCCTCCTACAGTTTTGATCTGATTTCAATGTAACTTGGCACACAAGTAGACTACACTAAGATACATATAATAGTGCATCGATTTTTGATTTCGATGAACGGTGTTGCCTTGGTTACTAAAAATAGAATTTTCTGTGAAATTCCTTCAAAACCCTACTCCTCCTACAATTTTGGTCTGATTTCAATATTACTTTGCACACAAGTAGACTACACTAAGATACATACAATAGTGCATCGGTTTTTGATTTCGATGAAGGGTGTTGCCATGGTTACTAAAAATAGAAACGTCTGTGAAATTCCTTTAAAACTCTACTCCTTGTACAGTTTTGGTCTAATGGCAATGGCTTCTTTTCTCATCCTTTGTTATACGTACAAACCAGTAGAGCTACAGTCTCGACAGAGACTTCTGGTTAGGTTGATTTAAGTATTAAATTCACGAACCTCATGAATGATTGATTGATTGATTGATTGTTTAAAGTCCCTCTCGAGAATTTTTCACCCATATGGAGACGCCACCACCACCGATGGAGAGCTGCAAATTTTGTCCTATACTCGGCACTCAGTGCCATTGAGCAGGAAGGAATCATATCTTTTTCATGCCAGCAGCTACTGCGACAAGGGACCTCAGTTTATACGGTCTCATCCGAAGGACCGGTCTCCACATCCCACAGTGGGATTCGAACCAGCGACGTAAGGATCAACTCCTAACTTCGCGACTCTAGAGCAGACACTCTAACCATTGCGCCACGCAGGCGACACATCATGAATGATATTAGTCCCTAGTTGTGGAAATCGTGCCCTTTATGCTCGATTTCACTGAAGCATATTCATTTTCTCAATTTTTGGAAATACTAAATTGACCACGCGGACAGATCTGTTGCATCAGGTGATGAAACTATACCAGTAGTATTACTACCTGCGAATATACACCCTGGGTGTATTTTATAATACCGCGGGTATGGGTTTTTTTTTAATAAAAACGTTAAGTTTACATTATTTTTTTGGATTTTCACATGGAATACATTGTAAACATGTAATTGAAGAAATGAAGAATAATTCATGCAAGAAAAATTGACCCGGGGTGTATATTCGGGGGACAGGGAGGGGGGTCCTGTCCACAAGTACCTGTGGTCCATTCAAGTGACAATATCCCAGGGTAATGAAACTTGCAAATATGTGAATAAGTTTAATATATTTTTTATACCATGATTTATACCTCACAATCAATGTTTTACACTGTTTTACATTGGGAATCCACTTTATTTTAGTTTATAATTCTCACGCAAAACCCATTGCGATGTCAAAGACGTTACGCACAATGTTGATGATGTTTGACTTTACACTTTCAGAACGCTACGGAAAAATTGACACAACGCACGCTTCTACAATGTAATAGTGTTACTAGCTTAATTGGTACCCTATCGCTATAACAAATGAGTAAATAATATAGACTTTAACTGTAAATTAACTAATCAATAGAAAGTAAGTTTTTGTTTTGTTACATTTTGGTAGGTGGTAACTTTGGGTATACGGCAAG